AGGGGGGGGGGGGGGGGAGGGTGGCTCGTCGCAAGGAGTTCGTGCTCTTGCTTTTTTCCCTTCTTTTCGTCTGTTTTCGTTTCTGCGTCCGAGAAGTGGAAGGAAAATTGTTGGCTATGTTCCGAGTGCGTGTACGACGATGGTAGGCGTGATGCTTTCCCTTAGTGGCGCTTGCGGGGGACCCCTGGCAGGTTTTTGAGGGAGGGGAAAGGGAGAGGGTGTAGGGGGACTTGCGAGCTGGCGGCCGGAGTTATTCAACACTTGTTGGCTTTCCATATTTATATTTCAGCAGGTACACTTGTTTGGTGACGGTACCACTTTTCTTCTTGGACCGTTGTTCTTGGATCGTTTAGCACGGGGTCATCCGGAGGTGGTGTTGAGCACAGGGGACCACACTTGCACGCCCGCACGTCTAGGTGCGCGTTGTGTGGGGCCGTCTCGTGTGCGCTTGGGCACCGCGATGGTAGTAATATGTAGGTGATCGGGTGCGCGTATTTATCGTTTTCTCAAGAGCTCTTTCTAGCACACACAACCTTTCAGCTGCGGTTGTTGTGTATAAATTTCGGGAGATTATGCGTGCGCCTACAGGGAAAACCAGGTGCTCGCAGCTTCAGAACGTCGGTCGCGTCACTGTTCGAGAGCTAGGTACCTGTCGTCTTTTTACGGCAGTGTCAGTAGATGTTGCTGCTGCCGCCGTTGCTGTTGCGCGGGAGCAGGTGTAGGTACTTTTGTGGGTGTGCGTGCAGTGTGTGTGTAAAAGAGCGGCCCAAAATCTCTTTTTTTGTATTCGAGGGGGCCTCTTTGCTGCCGCTGCGGCAACAACAGTGGTTCTCCCAAGCAGGAGGGAAAAGCCTTCTGCTACTCTGTTCCTCCGGCCCTTTTGTTTTTTTTTCCTCTGCCGCACCTACAGGGAAGAGAGTTGTATACGTCCAGTCTGAGCATCCGTTTCGAAATCGTTTCTCTCTTTTTGTTGTTTTTTTCGTACACTTACAACGGTTTCAGCTTTACTGAGCTGTTGGAGTTTTGGGGTCGCTCCAGCCGCTGCGACCTCGTTTGGCTGCATGCGCTTTGTTCCCCCCTTATAAATGCAAAGCCACAGCAGTGCAAGTGCCAATACACGCCATATCTGGTGAGTTGTGTGTTTGTGGCGTTGGCCGATGATATGGATTTTCGAGTTTCCTGATAAGGGTTAATGATACATGTAGGCGTATGATAAGTAAGGTAGGAACAGGTTTCGATGGGTTGATTGCGCCGGAAGTAATTCCTTTGAAGTAGAACTACAAACGGGGTGGAATTGACCTGTTGTATAGAGGTAGCGGATAGCCCTGAATACTT